CAATGTTACTTGTGAATATTTTTTTCTTCTAGTCCCTATACAGCATGATGCTGGAAGTACACACTGCAGAAGACACTGACTTTCAGTGACACAATGAAAATATCAAGCTGGAATCACACAGACCTGCTCCATACTGCAGAAATCATTCCAGTGATTTCTGAATTCTCTTCATTCTAGAATGCAAATGAGCAAACCAGGGTTCTGTAGAACTGAAATTCAGCACTCATACAATAAAAAGCAAAAGAATCAAATGCAAAACCTGATGTGCCATGATCCTGAACATATTGTATTTTAAGAGTAGCTGTTTTAACCCTTAATTCAAACAAAATTGTATATAACATCTTACACAAGGAGTATTAAAAGAGATTCAGTGTAAGGGCTCCCTGTTGACAGGTGTTCACCGATTCCTGAACATTTTTGATTAAGAAAACTGAAAGATAGGTTCCATTTGACGTGCTAGTAACATTAGTTCTGTTTTTGCAAACTGTTAATTATGATCAACTGTCCTTGAAACCTGAAGCATCATGTTCTTATGCAATCAGGGCTTCTACATTTTGGAAGAAGAGCAGTATGTTTTCCTCCCTTTGAGCAGTCCTTTGATCCCACAGAAATTAGTCCAAACCTCTTCTTAAGACTAAGAAGAGGTTGGCGAATCTGTTTTTTTCCTGAGCTGCACGGGTTTATTGTTACCTAGCATGTTGTTCTCCTAAAATGCCCAACCAATGTCTAATTTAACTTGTGAATACCCTAAAGCAGTGACAAGAATAATCGAGCAGAGTTTAGAAAATACCACCAAAAGGGCACCCGTTGACTGGAAAAACAATTTTTTCTGTATGTAAACATTGTCAGAGCAAACTTAGATACAGGAATTTAACTCAGTACTATGGACGCTGTACTCCAGTTTCTCTCTCAGTTGAGGGTTAGGAAGACAAGTACTATTCAAAGTGTCTTCATTTTTCTAAACACACATTTTACTCTGCTGAAATTTGAGGGAGTAAACAGTGCAACTCTGAACAACTTGCTGCTCATGCATGGAATATTTTCTGGAGAGTGCCTTACTTTAGAGGGACTTTAAGTTATAAGTGGCTGGTTGAAAGCAAGGTCACAGCTGAGGTACAATGGCAAGCACTGTAAACTTGTTCTAACTGCAGAATGAATGTGTGGACTTACCCAATTATGATGGTGAGTTTATTTTTCAATTTTGGCAGAGTAAGAGCATGTGGTGAGTTATAGTGCTTCACTTACAAATGAGCAGTAATTTCCTAAACTACTGCAATTAACCTAATATAAAATGATATAAACACGAAAACACTCCAATATATTTAAATTCTTTCCTCCTCATAAAAAAAAAAAAAAAAACCCACAATCATTTAATTATCCTGTCCTTACCTTTTCTCAGAAGGACTTATACATGTGTTGACCCTCACACACACACACTGAAAAAATTAGCATCCTTCCTTCCAGGTCTCAATTGCCCTGAGCAGCCTCAGCTGCAGCTTCTACCCATACCTTCATTTAAGCTCCAGCTTTAAGTAGAATCATAGAATGGTTTGGGTCAGAAGGGACCTTAAAGATCATCTAGTTCTAGGCTCATCTCTCAGCTACTGGAAGGCTGCTATAAGGTCTCCCCTGAGCCTTCTCTACGCTGATCAACTCCAATTGTCTTAGGCTGTCCTCACAGGGGAGGTGCTCCAGCCCCCTGATTATCTTTGTGGCCTCCTCTGGACCTGCTTGAGCAGGTCCATGTCTTTCTTACATTGGGATGACAGATGTGAGTTCTAGGTGTCCTAGCTGCTAGTTCTGCTCCTGAATTGCTGTTTGAGTTTCCTGGATTGATCTTGAAATGGCTCATTACCTTGTCTTTGCCTGATGGTCACGAACCACTGGACTGTTGCTGCCACTGCTCTACTTGCTTTTCTCTGGTGTAGCCACACTGTGCTCCATTAGTGAGGTCTTTGCCTGGATTGTGTTGTGGTCACGCTCAGCTCCTGGCCTCTTTGTCCTGAGGGAGAGCAGTTAAAAGCTGGGTGAGGCTGATCAGGGCCACTAAGGCCCTGCGCACTCAGGACTCCGATGTTGTTTTGCTCTACAGCATGTTTCCCAAGATAAAGTGCCACCCTCCCCCTAGCCATGTCTGCTGTCAGCACCATTTGCTTTAATCAAAAAATAAATACATTTCAGTGTGGCTCATTATGCTAAATGAAAGCAACAGGGGGCTAATGAGCATTGTGAATGAGTTATTAACATGGCAATCAGAGGGATCCTCAAGATAGCTACATCTTTTCTGCATCTTTCTTGGAACACTCAGTAGCGTATACAGATGTGACCTCATCTATTAAATTTAATTCATGGAATAAACAGATTTACATGTCTAACTTGAGTAGTTTCTTTTTCTATAATTGTTGTCTTACGCTTGCAATTAAGAAAAAAAAAAACTGCTAGTTCGGTTTGTGCAACTGCTAAGGGGTTAGTTTTAGCCTTCGGTGGACAAGACTGCTAACAGATTTGATGTCTGAATTTTTTTTAAAATTAAAATGTTACCACTCTCCTCCCCTCCCCCCGGGTTTTCATCACAAAGGGGAAATTTACCTGAAATAATAAATTTACTGGTGACTTCATCTTTGCAGTTGATTTAATGTGGTTAGCACTGAACAGGATTCTTATTTTTCAGAAAGGGCCTTCATCTCCAGCCTCAGCTCTGGCCTGATTTACTGTCCCTTGGCTCTTGGGATCCCATTCCATAGGGAGCTTTTAGTCAAGGGAGTACTTTTCCTTTGTCCTCGCAAGAAGGTAGTAAAACCAGCCTAAAACAGCATCAGAAAGATGTGTACTTAGAAAAAGGACAATAGGGAGGAGGGGAAACTTACCTGTATTCAATGATACTGAGAATGCATCTTTCAAAAGGCCAAGGAAAGGAGAGTAGGCCAAAAAAACTATTTGGTGTCTTTAAAAATTTGCTAAAGTGAAGATTTTTAAAAGACTCAATTCTCTACAATTAATATAATCACCTCCACAGAAAGCTTCTGAAGAGATATATTGCTAAACCCTGCCTTGCAGATGGAGAAACAGAAAAGATGAACACCTCCCCAAGGTACTAACACTGATCTGTGGCAAAGCAAGGAAAAGAAATCAGGAGGATGCAGCTCCTAGCTTGATTTCAGTCTCACTTTCAGGGTTTTCCCTGATTTGCAATCTCAGCTCCTGTGACAGGTTCATCTATTTAGGCCAAATAATTTTTATATCAGACTTTCTGGAATCAACGAAGAGCCATCAGACAGCAGTTTCTATTGGAGTTAGCAGCATTTCCAGGATTTTTTTGAGTGGGCACAGTGCACATACATAGGCAGAATTTTTAAAGTTCTCCAAACAAAACATAGAATGCAGAGTCCAAACTGTATTTGTCTCTTTCCCCTCTGTCTCCCATCTTCACCAATCCCTGTGATATCAATGGAAGGATATCCATACGGCAACATCACACAAACTGACAGAAATGTATGCAATCTTCTCCCACCTTCAGTCATTAAAAGGTAGGCTTGTATCCCGTGTGTTTGCTCTGCTATGCTATGACGTGATGTTCTGACCAGAAGCAGTGTGTCCCCCAGCGAGGCCCAGTGCTCAAGGGCACATGTCAGCCCATCACTCTTCAGCTGCCATTACAGAACACACTGCAGCACTGAAACATCCATCTCTCCTCCAAAGAGTGACTCGTATTTGCTACTATCCTTTTGTGGTATTACTCCCACAATAAGTGCCTTGGAAGGCCTGGGCCAGACCAGGTAGTCCCACACCCAGCCCAGGGCAGGTAGTCTATAAAGAGGCAGCTGTGGCTATGCTGTGGGAATGGCGGGCTGGGAACACAGCCAGCACCTGGCCCCAGTCAGGCTGTCAGTTACCATGATCCGTGCCCCAAGGGCTAAAACAACATGTGGAAGGCAAATCTTGCTGAATACCTTTTCCAAATTTGGGTTACCTCCCTGAAAGTCTCAAGAATTGAGACACTCGTGGGCTGCTTGCCGCCGGTGAGTTGGGCTCATTAGAATGAGCACCGGCAACGCGGAGGGAGCCTCGCACGCCTACGGCGGATCCGGCGGGTCCGTGGCACCGAGAACATCCCTTCCTCGCTCGCCCGGGCGGAGGCAGCGGGCCTAAAGGGGCTCCCGGGCTCCGTGAGGAGAAAGGGGCGTGTCCCCCGGCAGCCATTTTGGGCAGCGCTCCGGCGCGCCGGCGGTGCGCAGCGCCCCCTGGCGGCTCCCCGCCCGCAGATCAGCTACGACCGGCTGGTC